AGTATTGATAGACTGGCATGGGAATTTTAGTGTTTTCATGGAACTGTTTGAATGTCTTTCTGATGAGTTGTGGAGTAGACATGGGTGAGCTGGGTTCACTCCAAACATTTCTCTTGGTACTTCCTAAACACCCCGTAATGCTATCAAATGATTGTTCTCTCGACATCGGTTTGGGTATTTTTGACAATCCTTCATCTGACCTAGGAGAAAATTTCCTGATTGACTGTGGTGTTGATGTGGGAGTTGATTCGTTCGACCGTCTAAATCGAGGAAGCTTTGATTCACGTAAACTCTCAGCAGATGGTTCACGGGACATAACCAGTGGGAGCTTACTAGGTGGTGAAGGTCGCTGCTTCCTGGGTGATAAAGGAGTTGTTGGCGCACTGGCAGATTTAATTCTGGTCGTTTTGGTCTGCATCTGAGGGGAACTCGGTGCGTCTGACGGACTCTCTGTAATTAGTTTGCTTTTATCTTGACTTAGTGAAGCTTCTCTTTCATTTGTTATTTTCCCTCCAGAGTCTGTATTCGTAATGGAGGCAGGCAACTGTTCAGACTTTGACTTAGATTTAGTAACCAGTTTGGATTCGGGATTTGTAGTGTTTGTCACTGCCTTATCCATTTTCTTTTTCTCTGGAGTTCCTGTCAAGGACTTTTTCAAAATTGATTCTTTGGCACAACAAGGTTTTTCTGATTGAGATGAGCTCACCATACTTTCTTTTTTCTTTAGTATGGGGCGCCTTCTTAATGTAGGCGTCAGTTGCCGAGTAACTTTTATTTCTGCTGAAGGTTGCACTTCTGTTGTTTGTTTATTCTTTAAGATGGATTTCCGCTGCGTTCTTTGTGTGCAGGTAGAAGATGAGCATTGTTTTATATTGGGTTCTTTCAGAGAAGTTTCACGTTCTTGTGTTTTTACCAAGTCCTTATCATCCGTTTCGTCTTTTTCTTGGATGTGGAGTGCTGGAAATTCTGGTTTCTTGCGATGTGAGTGCTCCAGCTCGGCTATCTTCTCTAGTGTTTCAAATTCATCCAAATCCTCATTATCATCATGTAAAGTAGTTTTACTCGAATTCACAGAAATTTCCTGCTCAACACTTATCTCACTACCTGTATTACGATCCTCTTTCTCTTCTTTTTTAGCAAGCAAGGCCATCTCTGCTCCCTTAAGTTGCACTAATGCATTGGCTGAGTTGTGCAAAGGGTTAGTTATCTCAATAGCAGGTATACTGTTTGGGTCTACTTGTGTTGTGCTACTCCCTGCTGCACCCAAAGGCTGGCCATTTACTTTCATTTTCTTATTTTGTTCAATTGTCATCTCAATTTCTGCTGTTATATCTGCTTGTGCTAATGAGCTCAAAGCTTCAATAACTTGTGATATTGAGTTACGGTGTGAGCTTAGATAATTTGTTAGAACAGCTTGAGCAAAATTTGGCGATTCCGTTGGGCGGTCGTCTTCCGATACAGAGCTGGATGTATCTGCATCAAATTTAAAATGAACATGCTTTGCATTTGGACTCATGAGCGAAGTTTTTGATATGTTGAGCGTCTCTTGGTCCTCAGTGAAATGAATAGGATTAATTGTGTATGCACTTGGCCGTCGACTTGTACCATCACTCACCGTTTCAGTTTCAGAAATAAACACAGAGTCACTACCCATTGAAAGATCACCGATAGATAAGGAACTTGCCACTTCAAGATGAGCCAAGCGATCACCCTGGGATCCAATAGTCTGGGAATCACTCTGACACTCGGTATCTGTTTGAGAACCATATTCTGTGCCACATTCAGAAATGGTATCTCTACTACTCATGCAGGAAGGGTCATGGGATATGGGAGGTCTTTCCAGGCTGTCTACCGATATGCTAGTTACAGATGTACTGGCAACACTACCAACCGAAGCACACGATACATAGCTTGCAGGATCAGCATCTACTGACATTCTAGGAGCAACAGACACAATGACAGCACCAGGAACAGAGTCTCGAGAAAGTTTTTGTTCCTCTGTCACTGACATCTGCGACACTGAAGGGGAGGATGAAGGTAGAGAAGGTGTTGACTGAGAGGACACACATGGGAGGGACTGTAATACAGCTTGGGAGTCGTGCAACACTGGTAATTCAGATGTTTTCGAGGATGTTGACTGTTGAAGCCTTGAGCCACTCCTGCGTGCACGAGACCGCTCTACTATACCTGACATCGCCTCCTTCAGCTCCTCCATTCGAGTTACCCATTCAGGCTTTCGGTAGGATGTGGACGTTCCCTCTGTGTGCTCTGTGGGTGGAATGACGCCGTAAGTATGGATTGTGAATGACTGGCATTTCCTGACAGTATCAGTTCGCGATTAGAATTTCCCTTATTAAAAGCCAGAAGTGAAAAGCTATCAAAAACAAAAATTGTTTAATGGAGGTAAGCACTGTGAAAGAAAAGCAACGTTCCTATTCCTTAATATGTTAAACTCAATAGCTATCGGAATTCATAACGAAATATTATCTTTTGGTTATCAGAAATCAGAAAAAAATCCGTCGGCTCCTGCGCTGAAAGCAAAATCAAAGGTTATGCAACTGATAATAACACCTGAAAATAAACATTATTTAAAAGAAAAACTAAATGTGGTAGTTTTGTTACAACTACATGATAGATAAAGCACTACGGAAATAATGGGTATCAGTGTCAGTGTTAGGGTGAAAATATGGTGAAAGTGAAGGCAGAAAGAAGACAAGATGATAGCTGAAAATTTCAGAAGACAGTATCGGCTTTATAAATGATCCTGGAGAGTTTCCTGGAAGAAAATGGGAAACAGATATGCAGAACATTTTCTGCATTGCTGTTTCCACATGTAATTAATAGCATTCTAATGACAAAGCTACATATATTTAATCTTCAAGTTCATTTAATATGAGATGGTCAATACATTATATATGTTTTTATTGTTAATCTTGATGAAATCTATTTAACTTTTAAATATCGTCTATAGAAAACATGACAGTGATCTATGTTTATGACAATGTTATAAAGATAAGCAGAAAACTTCTAATTTCAATAGAGCATTCCAAGTAAAATAAAACAGGTAAAGCTATTCCATCTAAGTGATTGTCAAACACTATCCTTCCGTAACTGATTACAGAGAGTAATTATTGCTATCTTGCAGCCCAACTGTAACATCATGTAAGAACAGGGTGCATGCATACCCGGGAGGACCACCAGGGTAGTGACGGTCGTGTCTACACCATTTCTGTTCATGGCTTCGCACACGTATTCGCCACAGTCCTCCAAAGTAGTTTTGTGAAGAGTTAAGGCAGAAGTGCCATCTTCGTATGTTTCCACAGTGCGAGTTTCAGTCACCTCAACTGAAACTCCATCTGTGTGCCACTTAATGGTCGGGCGAGGGTAGCCAGTAACTTTGACCAGCAGTCTGGCAGAGGAAGAAAAGGATTGTTTAGTTATGTACATATGGCCTATAAGACATTTCAAATGTCGTCTTCAAAATGACATGGAAGTGCCACTTTCCTTCTGAAAATATATGCTTGTACGTCACTGTTACAAGGAGTGTTATGACTCGTGATGACGCTTATAGATTTATCGTCTTATAATCATGACCCTTAAGACACCAATTTAACTAAAGTTAAATACGTACCGTACAGAGGTCCCTTCGACCACTTCTATTTTCTGTTCAAGTCTGTTACAGAAGTACGGGGCGGAGCCTGCCTCTGAATTGTCAGAGTCTGTGTCTTTCTCGATTTCAATTGTTTCTTCCTCTTCTGAGACTGGGCCTGAGAAGATGTTCTTCTCGGATACAGAGGTGGTAGTTGCCGCCTCTGAGTCAGGCACATATTCATAAGCTGCAAAAGAAAATATGTTTACTGATATCAAATGAAATATCTTGCTAAAATAAATCAGTACCTATAAGCTTCATTACCGAAATACACATATATTTTCTGCTCTTGCCTTTAGGATTACATTTCTTTATCATCATTTAGGCAGTATCATTTACTTACATTCAACGGCCAGGTTCGCGGTAGTCCTAGCTTCACCGGCTTTGTTTCGAGCGATGCATGTATAGTCTCCGGCGTCTTCAGGGAACACTTCAAGTATTTGGAGGCCAGCTTTCCCGTCGGGCGTCTGCGTAAGGCGCACCTCCCGATGGTGAGCAATGGGCCGTCCGTTCTGGAGCCAGGTCAGCTTCGGCATGGGCTTGCCTTTGACCTTGCACCTAAACCGCACCTCTTCGCCATCCATCACGCGAATGGGCGTCAGCGGAGGATCAAATGAAGGCGGCTCAGCTTCCTCATCACCCTCACCCTCCACTAACAGAGTTGCGGTTGACGAAGCTCGGCCAACGGGGTTCTGGGCAGTCACTGTGTAGTCCCCAGAGTCGTCTTCAAATAGCTCACCCAGAACCAATGAAGACTTATTGTTGTTGCTTGTTATCTGGACCTCAATCTCTTCATCATGTGTGATCTCCTGGCCGTGTCTATACCATTTGAATTCAGCTTCAGGCTTGGCTGTGACTTCAGCTTCGAGAATTGCTACCTCACCTTCAGGAACAATTTGTGGATGTAGCGGCTTTATGAATTTGGGCGGCTCCATCTCCACAACCTCTAGAGGCTCTGAAATGTCCATGATATTATAAGAGAACTATGCAAAAACATCAAAGAATATAGAAGAATATAAACTGAATTTTTATAACCATTATACTAAATCACAACCTAAATCATGCATACGAACTTACGGGTAACAATAACAGAGGCAACAGTCCTCGCTTCACCAGCTTCGTTGAAAATCCGAACTTCGTACTCTCCGTAATCGTCCTCAAATACCTCCTCGACGTGGAGGCTCGTTTCGTCTTCGATTGTTTCGATTTTGTAGTCTCGTGAAGGCTTAAGTTCCTTGCCCTGGTGGTACCACTTGACAGTCGGGGGAGGGAAGGCTTCATAGCGCGCAAGCAAGTCAAGAGAAGAATGTTTCTTAAGGATCTGAGGTTGCAATGGAAGTGTGATCCGCGG